ATCTCCATGTGGCAGATGAGGAAACTGAGGCTCAGAGAGGAGGCATGACAAGGATGTGCTGGCCCCTTTCTGGTCTGCTCTCAGGGAAGGGCAGGGTCTTGGCATCAGGCCATTCTGGGGGCCCGCCCAGGTTCTGTCACTTTCTGGTGGCAAGGTCTTGGTCCAACCCATTCCTGCACCACTCTGAGCCTCTGCTGGCCTCAGTGTCCTGCCTGTGGAAGGAGTCGTTTCTGTGAGCACGTGCAGCCTAGCCTGAGACACCTTGGATAATGTTGGTACTGTACTTCTGGGACAGGCCCCAGGCAGTGGAACTGGGACCAAATAGGTAAAGCCCCCAGAGACAGGATCACTTCCTACAGCTTGCCTGGCCTGGAGGTCGTGAGCCACACATCCCTCAGGGTGACCTGCAGGCCAGGGAAGGAAGAGCCCCATGGGAAACTTCAAGGGGAGGCAATTCAAGCAGAGGCGGGGCATGGCCTTTCCCCCTCCAGCCAGTGTCCCCAGACCCTTTTTTAGCCAACTGTCCTTGAGAAAGATATCCCACCTCCCCAGGGCCTCAGTTTCCCTTACTGAACCAGTATAGCCTGGTGGTTATGATGACTACAGTCCAGGGGCCCAGACTGCCAGGGTCCACATCCCAGCTTCCCTGCTTTTGCTTTCTGAATGCATGATCCTGAGCAGGGAAATTCACTTCTCTGAGCCTCAGTTTCCTCATCTGCAAAATGGAGATGAGAGCAACACTTATCTTACTTCTTGTAGGAAAAGTGAATGCAATGTTCTCACTGGTACTCAGTGTACCAGCAGGGTCTGCTGTGCTGACAGCCTCAGGGCCTGTTGGCTATTACAGTTACTATGACTGTTTTATTAGCTGTGAAGGGACTAGAGGACACGTGTGTGCCTGGAGGCAGGGGCTGGCCCCCCAAGTCCCTGTCCCCCAGTTCCCAGCCTGCAGTCCCCCTCGCTGCCTTCAGCACCAAGTGATCGACAGGCTGGGCTGGTGGCATCCTGGCAGGCCTGTCCTGGCAGCTGCTCCCACAAGGCGAGGCCCTGTGAGCTGCAGAGAATTAATTAGGCTGCATTCCTCTTCCAGGGCTCCCGGCGGGCCTGCACACGGCCCCTTTCTTAGCTGCCGAGGGCTTTTGGCTTGGATCCCTGGCAGGCCAAGGCGAGGCCCACACTCTGCTCTCCCCTGAGAGGGGCTGGGAGGGCCCTTGTGAGCTGGAAGCATTGGCCGGGAAGGAGCCAACAATAAACCAGCCATCCAAGGCCAGCTCCCATCCTGGAGCTCCCTCGTTTAGCAACCTTCTCTGGCTACCTATCACTCAAGTTCAAATTGCTGGCATTGGATGCTATTCCCAGCCTGGCCCCTGCGGATCAGGCCAGCTGCCCCTCCCTGGACTCGCTCACACTCTGGCCAGATCTGCCTCACACCATTCCCATCGTGCCCTTTCCTCATCCCAGCCTGTGCAAGCCCTGCCCGCCCTTCACCCGCACCCCACCCCACCAGCTGGAAGGCCGGCTCACGACAAGTTCTACCTTCTGGCCCTTCACTTCCCTCTCGTCTGTCTCCTGCCAGGTTGTGAGACCCGGGCGAGCGGTTTCCAGAGGCCTGAAGCCCTCATTGAGGGCATGCTGGGCAGGGCAGTATTCTTCTGGGAAGCATTTTCTGAGGCTGTGGTGGGGGTGACAGTGGTGGCGGCCTCCACTTCCTACAGCACCCCCATGCCAGCTGCTCGGGGCTTGCTCTGGTGTTCAGACGTGCACTGCCTATTCCTGTCTGACCCTTCCAGCCCTTCCCAGGACATCTCTTTTTACTCCCCAAAAGAGGCCAGGAATAGCTCCCTTCTTTTGAAGACGGGAACTTTCACCTATGCTGCTTCCTCTGCCTGGAATGCCCTTCTCCACCCTCCTCCTTGACTGACTTCCCCAGAGTGGGTCTAGATGCCCCCTTCTCCAGGAAGTCACCCTGGACTCCCCCTCCTCAGGTGTTCCATCACAGTGTGGATATACCCTATCAGACAGGTAGGATAGCACAGAAGTTAAGAGCCTGGGGCTTCAATCCCAGCTCAGCCACATCCTATGTGACTTCGAGCGAGTTCCTAACTTCTCTGTGCCTCAGTAACCTTTCCTATCAAATGGGAATAATAATGACAGAATTTGCTATATAAGGTTGCTGTAAGGAACCAAGGAGTTAATATGTGGAAAGTACTTAGTAAGTGCTCAGCGAATGTTTGCTATGATTCTTATCTTCATAGTTAACTGTTGTTTTCTTGAATGACTCTCCTCTTGGCCTGTGAGGCAGGAGCTGTGTCTGTCTTGCTCACCAGAGTCCCCCCAGAGGTGATTATTCATAACTGTTGAATTAATGGATGGCCACATTCCAAAAGTTTATCACTGTAATTAGGCAAATGACTTTTCTGAACTGAAGACCTAGCTGCCTGGACTCTATTTTCAAAGAGAGTGAGAGAGAGAGAGAGAGAGAGAGAGAATTCCAATTCCACAGTGCTCTTTCCTGAGTGAAGGGTGTGGAGAGACAGCAAAAGGCCCCATTTGCAGCCTCACAGCCCTGGACAGAGGACCTAACTTCTCTCTGCCTCAGCTTCCTCCTGTCCACACAACCAGAATAAATCTGGGTCATCCTGTGCCCCCTTCTGGTCTACCTCTGCCTAGTGTTCCAGTCAAAAGGAACGCAAATTTGACTCAAAAAGCCTTGAAAAGAGCCTGTTGTACATTTAAGGAAAAGGCAGGAGGAGGGGAGATTTTATCCCAGAAAACCTAAGCTTCTTGCAGTTTAGACACCTTTTCCCAGGGTTAGGTTTGACCTGGTAGCGGCTTCTCATAACTTTATCTCTGCTTCTTCCCAAACTCTAGCACACCTTCCCCCACCCAGCTAAAGTCCCAGCTACCTGGAGTGTGGGCTAAAAGCAGCGACAGACTTTGGGCACACATGGTCCCCTGGCCCTGCAAACTTCTTGTCCCACAGAGAGATATAGCTGGACAAGGGCCAGAGCGGGGCCTCCTACAGCACAGGGCCCCAGCCAGAGGCCCCTGTTTCCCAGGCATAAGAGTCTAAAGGACTATGGTGTCACCCTTGCCTGTCCCTGCCTTCTGGGCCTCCTCTCCTCCTTTGATTATCTCTGTGGCTTAATCATCTGGGTCACTGATCTTTGAACCCTGGCCAGGGCCCCTGGGGCCTGTGCCAAGGGCGGTGAATGCTTCTTTCCAACACACCCTCCGCCAGGTTCCCCTCCTGCCACTGCCAGGCCTCCGTCACAGCTGCTGCTCTAGGGCTCCCTTACCCAGCTGCTCGGCCTGGCCATGGACTGTTGCTTTTGGGCTTTCGAGGGGGCAGGATCATGTTGAATGGGAGCCTATGATGCACTCCCAGGGAGTGAGGTTCCCCTAGCATCAGGCTCAGCTGAAACGTGAGAGGTGTGCTCCAGCCCTGGGCTGGAGTAGGCAACAAGGGCCTGTGCTGACCCCATGACCACCTCACCACCAGGAGGGACAGAGGATCCCTAGGACTTACAGTGACTTTGCTTCTCTGCCGTGGGTCTCCTCATTCACTCAGCCCTGACCAGCCCTCCGTGGCATATTTCCAAAGCCCAGCTCTGCCCAGGTCCCCTACTGCTCATAGAGCTTTTGTGGCTCCCTGCGGCCCACAGGAGGAAGTCCAGGCTCCTAACCTTGGCCTTCAAGGCCTCTCCGGCTTCATCTCCTGCTGCTGTCCCCTTGCATGGTCCAGATGCCTGAGGCCCCTCCTAAGGAAGCTCCTTTATCAACCCCACTCCCACACTTTTATCCTCCCTGCTCCCTCTGACTGGAATTTCCTTCCTATTTACTTTCTATGTATTCAATTCATTTGAGTGTTTCTCTGGTGCTCAGGCTGCAGTGCAGTGGCATGATCACAGTTCACTGTAGCCTTGACCTCCTGGGCTCAAGCAATCCTCCCACCTCAGCCTCATGAGTAGCTGGGACCACAGGTGTGCACACCTTGACCAGCTAATTAAAAACAATTTTTTTTTGTAGATACAGGGGCTCCCTATAATGCCCAGGCTGGTCTTGAACTCTTGGGGTCAAGTGATCCTCCCACATCGGCCTCTTCAAGTGCTGGGATTACAGGCATGAGCTGCCTGGTCTCTTTCCAGACTTTCTATTTACTTTGCATATCTTTTGAGGCCACAGGAGTGGCAGTTTTGTCCAGAGTCTTCCTCTGACCACCCATCTTCACCCCAGCTAGCCCCCATCTCGCCCTCCCCTCAGGCCACTTAGCTCTGCCCCTGTCCCACTTATTCCATAATCACCATTGCCAGCCCCACAAGTAGCCTTGGGCTGAGCCTGGCACCATCACTTCTCTGTTTAGTACCCGCAGCAACCCTGTGAGGTAGGGGCTGCTGCTTCCCATTTTCTAGATGGAAAACACTGAGGTTCAGAAACTGAAAGAGATTTGTTCAACATCACACTGCAGTAGTGACTCATGAATTCAATCAGCAAGTATTTATGATGTCCAAAGCCCAAGCTGAGGGACCAGGCCAGGGCCAGGCTGTGGCTCCATCACAGCACCCCTCACTAGCCAACGGGCACCTACAGCCTTGGGATTCACCTGGTCTCCTCCCTTGTGGGACAGCTTTGCTTGGGGCCTTACAGTCAGCCTCTGCTGGGACAGAGCCGCTGGGGCAGATGAGTCCCTGCGCCCTCGTGACTTGGCTTCTTCCAGACATGCTCTTGGGAAAGGGTTGGCCATTGGTTACTGGTCTGGTGGGAACATAGGTCCTAGAACCCTGACGTCACAGCTGCAGGGGGCTGTCGAGGCATATGATAGACAAAAGCCCAGAGAGGGCAGGTTGGCCGCCAGACACCCAGCTGGGGCAGGGGTAGAACCCAGGGTTCCAGCCACCTGCCTCAGCCCTTTCTGTCCTCTGTCCTCCAACTTCTAAGCAGCCCCTTCTTGAGAGGAACCTCCACCCTCTGCCTTGGCCAAGACAAAACACCAGCATACATTTCCTCATTTATGACAAACACAAGTTTGTGGGTAAATAGAGGGTCTAGAAAAATACATTAAAATAAATAATTGGGATTCTCCAAGTTCTTAGAGCGAATAAGTTATGTACAGACAGGAGAAGCAGAACAGGCCCTTCTCACCAGGAGGGTCCGGAGGGGATGAGGTGCAAGGACTGGGGAGGGAGAGCTGGAGAGGAAGAGCCAGCCAGGACGCCAACCCCAGGGGAGCCATCCAGCCTCCAGGGCTGGCTGAAGCATGAGTGTTCGCGGCTGCACAGTTGCTCCTGGTTTGCAGCCCAGCAGCCAGGACACTCCTCAGGATGCAGCCTCCAGGTAAATGTTCTCCCCAAGCAATTCCTTCCATCAGGGCCCTGGGCCAGCAGCCAGTGCTGGAGGCTGCTCTGCAGTCTGGAGGCGGAGGGCTTCCCTGGGCAGTGGGAGGGCACGGAGCTGCCTTGGAGGAGGCTCCTTCACCAGGGTGAGGGGGCCAGAGCTTGTGCCAATCCTGGCCAATGGGTCCAACTGTCTGGGACCAAAGCCCCGGTCCAGGAAGCAGGCAGAGAGTCTCGCACGGGCCCAGCCCACTTCTCTCCTCCTGTGTCCCCGCAGGCTTCCTTCCCAGTGCTCCTCCAGCTCTCTCAGCTATCTCTTCCTCCACCTGGAGTGTGTGGGCCGCGGCTCCCACACCACCTCCTGCTGTCGCTTGGCAAAGAGGTTCTTGGCTGTGGAAATGTCCCTGGGAATCAAGAAGGGTCAACTTAGCATCTCAGGAGAAATGGACTGTCCAGGAGCTCCCCCAAGAGGCAGGGGCAATGGGGCTACAGCCCTTGTCCAGATCCTGGGGTCACAGCTGCCCTGGGGTCAGAAAGCGGCCACAGCCTGAAAACAAGGTCTGCACAACAAGCACAGGCCAGCCCAGGCCTAGAAGCTTCTCTGCACATGGGGGCTTTGACAGAGCTAATGTTCAGCATCAAATGCTGCCAGAATGAGTGGACAGCCAAGCACAGCCCTGCGTGGCTCCCATCGTCTGCCTTCCCACTTCCCCACCTTTACACACCTTTCCTCCTGCTCTTCCCTCCAGGCTGTGTGCCTACCCCTCACCCAGATGCCACCGGCTAAAATTTTACTTATTCTTCAAAGTCCAGCTCAAGGTAGTCCAGCCCAGAAAATAGGGGACCCTGCTGCCCTTTGAACCTGGCTGGATTGCCACATCCTGGCTCAAAGAACTGTAGTCTGGGAGCCAGAAGACTGGCTTCAGTTCCCAGCCACGGAAACTTGGGCAAGGGTCTCAACCTCTCTGATCCCCTTTCTCAGTGTGTAAAGCAAAAACAGACCTGAACTGATGAAAATGAGTATAAGGTTTGCAGAGCCAGCTCTGCACACCAAGAAGTGTGTGCATTTGAAAAGTCTTGTACTCATTTCTTTCATTCTCAGAAAGTTCCTAAGCATATGCTGGGTCCTGTCCATCCTTCCATCCTGCCTTTTCTCCTATTTTTCTGCACCTCCGCCTCCAACTAAAAGGTGAGAATCCCTGAGAGGCTGAGCTGGGCCCTGGGACCTGGCAAGCTGCAAGAAAGCTGCACTGACAGAAGTGGGAATGGCCAACCCCTCCACAGCTCCCCCAGGCACAGACCCGGGGCTATACGCTCCATGTGCTCTGCTCATCTGACCGCACAGCAACCCCAGGCAGGGTTGGATGGCGCCATTTCCCTATTTCCCCTGTTTAAATCACAGGAACTACAGGCACAGCGAAGTTGAGGAACAAACCCAAGGTCACAAAACTTGTTCCAGGCTGGGCTGGGGTTCAGATCAAGCAGTCCCAGCTGCAGAGGCTCTCCTACAGCCACTCTGCTGCCCAGCCAGGCACAAGTGTCCGTTCTCGAGTTGGTTTGGTTGAACAAGCATTCATGGTCACCTCTTGGGGGCCAGGTCTGAGCCACACTGAGACACCAGGGAGGAGAGGCAATCTGGGCAGCAGAGAGGGAGGAGGCTGAGCATCTGGTCCCTCTGGACCCCAGCATGTGTGAGATGCTTGATTCAGCACAGCCTGAACCAACAACTGTGGTCCTTCCCAGTCATGAGCCCTCAAACTCTCTAAAAAGTCCACTCCAGGCCTAGTGGTAACAAAGAACACAGTGGGTTAGAGCACAGACTCTGGAGTTAGCCAGATGCCACTGACTGCTGTGTGACTTTGGGCAAATGGCTTTCCCTCTGAGCCTCAGTTCTCTTTGCTGCCCAATGAGGACCCAGGCCTGCTTCACATAGAGAATAAGGGAAATGTGCAAGGCATACAGGAGGTACTCAATCTGTGCAGGTGTCCCACACCCTCACCTCAGTCTTTGGAGAAGGCCTCCTGCAGCAGACCCTGTCTTGCCAGTCTGGAACACGTCTGCAGGGGACTTGCTGCTTGGGACTGCCCCGGCTTCAGCCCTGCATGAATACCATTAGGGCCCAAGTGAGGGACTGCCCAGGGTCCTGAAGCCACCTGGCTGCAGGCCAAGCCCAGCCCCCACCCCCACCTGCCTTCAGGAGCAGATCCTTTTTCACCCCTGTGCACCTGGCATCCTTCCCTTCCCAGGCGGGGTGGGGACTGAGGAAAACTGAGCTACCAGGAACGTGTTCTTAGCCCCAGAAGGAGGCAGCTTTTTTGGCCTTCCCAGAATCTGGCCACCTGTAAGGGAAACTGAGGCAGGGGCAGAGCCTCAGTTTGAGCCCCAGAGGAGGAGTTTCTTGTAAACCATCATGGGAACTGGAGCTTGGGGTTTTGCAGCCAGTTTGGTTTGCCCAAATGCCCCATGTGGGGGAGGGAAGCACCAAACTTCATACCCCTTTTACAGATGGGAAAACTAAGGCTCAGGTAAGATAGGAGACATGGCAAAGGCCCCCCAGCAACTCTGGGGCCACCCTGGGATGATGATATGGCTTCCCAACTCCAGATGCCATTTCTCCCCTGAGCAAGCTCCGAAGTCCCCTGAACCTCAGGTCGGAACCCAAAGCCCACTACGATGCGATCACAGACAGGCTCAAGACCTGGCCCTCCTTCTGATGAGCTGTGCAGCTTGACATGCCCTGCCCCCTCTCTGGGCCTGCATTGCCTCAGCTGTCACCGGGAGACTCTTTCCTGCCCAGGAGTAAGGACATGAGTGTTCCCAGAAGCCCCCAGAGCTGGGCATCAGGAGTTCCCCTGGGGTGACTGGCTCCCGCAGGAAGGGATGCTGCCCATGGACCGAAAGCAGTCTGTGGCCTTCTGAGTCGCTGCTCGCCCCCAGCTTGCCAATTGACAGCTCAGCTGGTCTCTTAGACACCTGCTCCCCAGGGCATATCCGGGCTTGCAGCTACCCTATGCCCCCGCAGGCTGGGTGCCCACCTACCAGGGCCTTCGATGGCAGAAGGTGGCACAGGTGGGGTCCCTAGCACTGGAGCACTGACAGCGCCTTGGCAGGGAGCGGCGCCGGCGTCTTGGCGGGTTTCCCAGGCCGTAAGGAGCTGTCTGTCTGTGGGCGGGCAGCCAGCAAGGTAGTGTTGTGGGGTGGAGCGAGAGAGAGAGAAAGAGAGAGAGAGGATTAAATAAACCACAATCACTGGCAAGCAGGGACTGTCCACGCTCCCCACTGGGACAGCCACCCATGCCACCAGGGTGCCAATGAAAGGTGACCAGCCCCCTGACCTCAAGAAGTCACACCATTAGTCACAGGCTCATCCACAAGGGTCCTGGTAGCCCTGGGCAAGACCCTCCCCTTCTCTGGGCCTGGCTTAGCTCAGTGGGAGCTCCCAGCATGGGGGGAAGGAAATCTGTGGTCCTACTAGAAATTGGGAATTGGGGTCCTCCTGCTCTCCCTCCCCTCTTGGATGGGCTGGCCCCACTGTTTTCAAAGAATGCTCTCAGCTAGCTCTGGAGGAAGGGCAGACACTCCATCTGACAGGAGTAAACACAGGCTCACAGCTAAGCTGCCCCCACCTGGTCCCCACTTGTCTGGAGGGGTAACAAATGTGCCTTAGAGCCTTGACTTGAAAGTGGGGTGTGTGCGCGTGTGTGTGTGTGTGTTCAGATGGGATTGATTTCAGATTCAGAGTCTGATCAAGCAGGCCAGGGGAAGGGCAGGGGCCCTGTGGCTGGCTGGACCAGCACTTTCGAGTGACAGAGCTAATTTTAGACGGCGTGGTTGAAGTTGTAGTGACTCCAGGTAGACTCAGCACGCAGGGCCTGGCAGGGTTCCCGCCCTAAGCAAGTGTTTGGATGCGGATTAGCTCCACACACGCTTACGTGCAGGGCTTCTCTTGCCTTTTGCAATTTGGGGAAGGGAAAAACATCACAAACACACACAGAAACTTCAACTAAAGGTATGCAGTGGCCTGGAGGCAGCGCGGGTGCAGGCGGAACAGACGTGCTGGGCTCCCACCCGGGTGTAGCCAGGTAGCACAAGGCAGGTTCTCATCTGTCGTTTGAGGGACAATCCTGTATTATAGGGAGGATGGGGGACTCCTGAGATGATAATGCATGTGCAGTGCTTGGCAAGAGCCTGGCACAGTCAAGGCACGAGTGCCGTCACTAACTGTATTATTCTTGGAAGATCATGCAGAGGCAGGATGGCAGAGTAGGTGTGAGCTCTGGCATTCCCCCACTGAGGATGGCACCTCCCCTTATGATTTCCTGTATGATCTTGGGGAAGGCACTTAAGCTCTCTGAGCCTCAGTACTTGGATCTGGAAAAAGGGGCCCGCCCTTCCTTACCAGGCTCTCTTAAGAATTCTCGGGAGACAGCCCTCTTATGGCTCAGGTGGTCCCCATGCAGGAGTTGAAACAATTAGCTATTGATATTAGCCAGTGCCCCCATCTGGAGGCCTGGGGAGAGCTGGACTGTGTCAAGGTTCCCCAGCATGCCAATAGCTCCCACCCTGACACCCTGCCGCAGAGCTTTCCCCGGCCCCGGCATGGATGCTTACTCAGGAGTGTTCACCCAGATGATGTCCAAGTGGCAGAAGTAGACGCACTCCTTGTCGAGCCAGGAGCTGCAGGAGCAACGGCGAAGCCGCAAGTGGGCGCCTTGGGCATGAGGTGAGGATGCTGGTTGCTCCAGGGTGGCAGCAGCCTGGCCCTTTCCTGCATGCACAGGAGGGAGAGAGAGGTGAAGAGGTGGGTTGGGGTGCCTGGCACATCCTGGAGTGGGAGACCCACCGGGCCCCTCCTCTTGCACAATTGAGGGAGTTGGTGCTCTTGCTGCTCAGGAGCTCCAGGTCAGCCCAGGGAAGCCCCAGTAGCCAGTGGGGAGGGCCAGCGGCTGCCCCTGCCCGGGCGCCTTTGCATTTGCAGAACCGTCCCCCTGCCGCCACTGCCGCTGGGCTCCCATCCCTGTCTGCCCCCCAGCTGGCTTGGGAGGCACTGCAGCCCTAGGCAGAGACACACACAGACAGACCCAGGAGCTGTAGGCAGCGGGTGAGGCCGTGGGTGAGGCCCGGCAGCTCACCTTCGTGCAAGGCCACGAGCAGGGCTAGAGCAACGGAGCACCAGGTGGTAGGCACGGAGACCATAGCGGCGGCGGAGCGGGCAGGCTGGACCGGAGCAGAGAGCGCCTGTTGCCAGCGTCCTGCTGTTAAGCTGAGCAGATAGCTCATTGCCTCTGTGCCCTGGCTGCCTCTTATAATACCAGGGTGGTGCCCCACCCCTTCTGGTCCAGCCCTACCCCGCTGCACCGGCGGGCTGGGAGCCAGGGACACCGCCTCCTCCCCGGGTGCCTGGCCCAACACAGCCTCTGCCATGAAGGGGGAGGGAGATGGAAGGCCTGCTCCTCCCTCTGTGCCTGGAGCACCTCTGGGAGTCCTGAGGCTCCCTGGCAGTCCCCAGGGTACCCTCAAAGTCCAGCTGAACTTCCCCAAGTCACCCCCAGCTGCCCCGAGCCCCACCTCGACTCTCTCTGAGGCTGCTCCACCGGTCTCACCCAGGGCTGTGAGTGTGGAGGAGGTTCCATGAGCAAACTCCCTCTCCTCAGAGACTCTACCATCCATCCTGCCTGCCCTCTGCTAACCAGGCTGAGGATGCCCCTCTGTTGTGTGGGCTGTGTGGCCTTGGGCGAGTCAGAGCCCTCTCTGGGCTTGCTTGCCTCAGTGAAGGACACAGCTCATGCCTGACTCCTGACCGGCCTGGAACTGCTTCATCCTCACCTCACCCAGGAAGTGCTCCCCTCAACACCTGCTCTATCACCCCAGAACCTGGGGCAGGAGTTCCAGTCCCTTCCAGAAGGTGTTCAGCTATGCAGCCATGGCCAAGGGCATCCTTCCTGAGCCCCAGCTTCCTTGTTTGCAAACAAGGCCAAAACAAGAAGGTGCTTCACCTGTTTGGCTTACAGTTTCCTTTGAGACTAAGAAGGTGGCTTCAGACCCCTTTCCAGAAAGATGCCCCTGAGGACACACCTAAAGCTCCCCTGAAGCAGTCTCTAGTCCTGGCCACGGCAGGATGGCTCAGCTCCCATTGGTGGCTACTGTTTGCCAAAAAGGTCAGGCAGGGGGACTTCTCTGGGGGCCGGCATTCTGCTTCTGCTGGCCCAGAAGCTTGCTGGAGAGTGGGGAGCAAGCATGAACCCCAGCTGTGCTGAGCTGAGCAGCTCGGGGAACTGGCAGGCACCCTCTGCTCCTGTCCTGGCCTGGCTCAGAGTCCATTTCCTGCCCAAGTTTTCCCAGGGACCCTGTCTCCAGGCACAATAGGAAAGGCCCTCTCATTTCTCGGAATTCCCAGGGCCTGTGCCTCTCATGCTTGCCTGACTCATGCCATCACACTTATCTCGCCTGCAACTTCAAGGTCCAGAGCCCCAGAGGAGGCAGGGCCTGACACCTCCCCTGCACACAGTAGGCACCTTGAGAGTGCTTCCTGAGGGCCGGGCGTGAAGAGATGCATACCTGGTTTCCACCTGCAGAACGCAGGATGCCTGAAGCTCAGTTCCTGTACTCAGCAGCTCCTTTGTCATTGGACATCCACGAAGGGGACAATAGGTGACCACCAGGAACAGGCAAGTTTGCATCTTCCTAGGGTGTGCCCAGAACAAGCGTGCATGTGTGAAATCCTGGAGAAGCTGGCTGAACTGATGGAGGGTGACAGCGGGTCCTCCTTCCCTGAGGCTGGGCTGGCTACTGTGAAAAGAAGAGCAAATGTTTCCTGAGCACCCACTGCGTGCTTGGAGCACTTTCGACTCCTCCTCACCACACCCCAGGAGGCCGCTGTTGTCACTGGGGAGTCAGCACGGGAATGCCCACGAGGAGGCTCAGAGAGGAGCAGGCCTTGGCCAAGGCCACCCTGAGGCAGATGGCTTGGTCTCTCAAGCAAAACACAAGAGACTCCCCGTGCAGTGCTCGCTGCCCTCCCACGTTGTGCCTCTCGAAGAATTTAGAAGATTATTTCTGGAATGAGGTGAGCAATACTCACAGTCATTTCTACCAGCCTCTTGGAGAATATGAATACGGAATTAAACAGGGCCAGGGGGCTGGTGCGGGGTGGATAGACAATTCAAACCGCTGGACCGTGAAGAGAAGAAAGAAGGAAAAGCAGGTCAGCGGGGAGAGGAGGGGGTCAGGGTGGGGAGGAAAACAAACAGGGAGGCAGATAAAGACAGGCAGGGAGAGAGGGGGAGAACGAGGAAGCGGTGTGCGGCCAGAAAGAAAGAACTCGGATTTGAGGAACTCAAAGAGGGAAACCATAGGGAGAGGAGGGAAGGTTCTGAGGCGTCTAATCTTCACACAAATGCAAAACGCCTGCTCAAGACAATAGGGAACCAGAGGCTCGGAGCCCGGAAACACAATAGAAGCATTAAATGAACCCAGAGACAGGATCCTCCCGGGTGTGAAGGAGGATGACGACAAGGCAGGGTCAGCGCAGGGAGCTGCGAGCTGGGCCCGGCTCCGGTTTCCCTCCTTCCCTGCCCTCGGCTCGAGCTGGACAAGTAGGGCTCCTGTGAAATGGAGACGACTGGCCCAGGAACCAGAGCAAGCCCAGGTTTTAGGGGATGAAACCATTCCCAGAACAGCACTACCACTGACAAGTTAGTTCCCAGGTAGGGAAAACTAAGATGGGTTAATAACAGCCAGTCCCAGCCCCCTGGGTCGCTTAGCCTGAGCCTCTGTCCCTCATGGCTGGTCTGACTGCATGCCCCACCACCTATACCTGTCCTGGCTTCACTGTCCCTGTCCTTTCTAGGTGGCCTGGCTGCAAGGCCCCCTGGCCCCACTGCTCTGGCCCTGGCATCTGCCTGGGTTTGTAAAGCCTGCAGGGGGCGGGGGAGGGAGCCACCCAAAGTCACCCTCTCCCAAGTGAAAGATAATTGCTTTACTCACTAAGGGATTTGTTTTCCTTATGCTTGTACCAGCCCAATCCAAGAAAGAGGGATGTGTCAGGTGGGAGAGTTGGCAGAAGAGAGCAGTTGAGTGTACTTCCGAGTAAGACACTGGGCTAGAAACTGCTCCCTAGAAATCCCATGTCTCTACTCCCATTTGGTAGATGAGATAACTGAGAGGCAAGAGGAGCAACTTGCTCAAGACACAGATGGGGCTGGGTGTGTTCTCTTGGCTCCGAACCCGCCCCACCCTTTCCGATACACCCTGGGAAGCTCTCTAGGGGTCCAAACTGAGCCCAGGATCCTGGGTCCCTAGGAGAAAGGCTGGCGGGAAGGACCCCACTGGCAGGAAGGCTGGGGCACTGGGATGAGGTTAGGCTGTCTCTTTGTGCATCTCAAAGCTCCTTCTATAGCCCCAGCTCTAAGAGCAAACTTGGTCCCGTCAAGCAGCTGTCCAGCAGCTGTGGACACTGAGCTGGATGGAGGTTGCATGTGCCCTGGTGATGTCTGACACACAGGGCTGGGCTGCAGCAGGTGCCTGGGATTGCAATCAAGGCCTGGACTGGGAAGCTCTGTCCCAGCTCTGCTACTGTGCTGTGTGGCCTAGGGCTAGTCTCATCCTCTCCCTGCCTTCCCATGGATGGCCAGAGGTGCTTTCATCTCTGACTGCCTGTGACATTCAGAATTGGGCTGACCTGAGTTTAGAGCTCCTCAAATGGGGGCCTTGCAGACTCTGGCAGCATGGCTCTTGCCCCCAGCTTGAGGCCTTCTGCTCTTTTCACCTCTGTAAAACCAGTCATTTCCCCATGGACACCTGGCCCCACTGGGTTTCGGGAAGTTCTGTTTGCAGCCCCAGTGGAAGGGACACAGCGTCTTCCCTGCAGGCACACACTGTACAGACGGCCTAGCAGAGCAAGCCGAAGGGAAGAGGGGCTGGGGGCAGGGAAACGACAGGAGTTGCAGGGCTTGGGGGTTGGGGAAGATGTAGCCTTGGAGCTGGCCTGGGCTGGGACTTGGCGACTCAGGAGACTCAGACATTCACCTTACCACTTGTCCCAAATGCTGTGGGTCAGGTTGCCCCCACTTGGGCCTGGGGCCACTCAGCCTCAGGCCTCTTTCTGGTGGGTGGTCTGGGCCTTCTGCCATTAGCCACAGCTCACCCTGAGCCAGCAGGACCAGTCACCACCCACACCACTGTCCCCACACTGCATCTCTGCAAGGTCAGCCTCAGCCTGCTCCCCTGGTCTCCACGGCTTCCCTCAGGGGAACTTTGGTCTTCCTCCCTCTGTCTCAGCTCATTTGGAAAGATTTATGTCTCCCACATAAACTGTACTTTGAAAAGAATAATGCATGTGTCCTGTTTGTTATTAATCTAAAGGTAATCAGAGCAGGGTCAACAAGGCCTATGGAACTGCTGGAATTTCAGCCGAGAGCAGACATGGTTGTCAAGGCACCCTTGTTAAGAGGCCATGTGAGTATCCCTGGCCTTGGTGAAATGCGAAAACCAACTCAGGATTCAGCATCTAGGATGGAAATTTCTGGACTCCAAGGTTTTGAGTTACCTCTAATGGGCTAAGGGCCAGATTCCCCACTTAGCCTTTTAGGAATGGAGGGTAAATCAGCATTTATTGAGCACTTAATATATTCTGAGCCCTGTGCTAAGTGATTTACATATATTAGCCTCATGAACTATCACAACATGCTTGTGGGGTAGTTACTGTAATGAGTCCCTATTTTATAAATGAAGAAACGAGGCTCAGAGAGGGTTACTTGCCCAATATCAGACAGCCAGGAAGTGGCAGAGCCAAGATTAGAAAGCAAGTCAGTGTAGCTCCAAGGCCCAGCCCTGAGCCGACATGTCCCCAGCGTGCTTTCCTGACACCCCAGCCTTTGGGGAGCCCTCACACCTCAGAGCAACTCTTTTCCAGGGCAGACTTCCCTGCTTGCAGCAGGCAGACAGCCCTAGGCAGGCTCAGAAACTGTGGAGCCCAGGAGCAGAGGCAAGACTTTCACCTGTGTCCTAGCAGAGCCTCACTCCCATGACAAAAACACAGCACATGGGCCATGCTTAAGAGGCCAATGGCTGAGGCCTGACCACAGCCCTTAGGTAGGCATGGGTATTCCATTCTTATTTCACTGGACTCCCAGAATAGACCTGGGCTCATGATTCTCACCACAGATGAGGTTCCAGAGGAAGAGATTTAACTCAAGGTCACATAGTGAACATGAGGCAGGGCAAGCTTATCTGCTATGGGACCAACAGCCTATACCATGTCTATCCAATGATCCTCCCATCTATCACCTACCTACCCAT